AAGCCAGGAATTCTCAGATGGTGCGCAGGCTAGTGTGTGGTGGCTGCTAAGGACAAGGTTGGAGGTTTGAGGCCAGCCAGGTGCACGGTGGAGGAAAGGCCTGGTGATCTACTTCTGAAATATCAGACACGGGAACCCCGTGGCGTGTTGATCAGGGAACCTGTCAACTAGACCCTCCTGGGTAAGAGTGCGGGGTGGAGCGCAACCTATCTGCTGTGCTGCAGCCTGATGACCCCTCCTTGGTGCTGAATGCCTTTTGATACAAGAGGAATTGACAGAGCAGGGTTGGCTCCTCTTTGGTTCTTCTTCCAGTGGAGCTGGATCCTGCATCTGTTTCCTCAGTCTCCTGTCTCAGCGCCTGCTCGGCCCGGAGCCACTGAGGATCATTGGCGGTGGATTCATTCGGCTTCAGACCTCTGCTTCCACCAGCCTGTACCACCCCCCTCCCCCCACTGTCTCTGCTTCCTCATCCCACTTCCTGTTCATCTGCTTCCATGAGCCAGGAGAAGCCTGACTCAAGCCAGACTGGACCGACCTATTTCTACAATGGTGTGAGCCATCCCTCGGTGGAAATCCCTTGCTGTATCCAACACCTGCAGGTGTCCGTGGTCTGCATTCTCTCGGGAACCCCACCTAACACACTTGGCTTGTGGAAGCACCACTCCCATCTCTGTCTCTCCCTTCCCCTGGCCCGCCCCAATCCAGTCGGATCTCTCTTGAACTTTAGCACATTTGCAAAGACCCTCTTCCCAAACGGGGCACCTTCACAGATTCAGAGGGCACGCACTCAGGGGGCAGGGGGCCCCTGCGAGCTGACCGATCTCCTTTGTCCCACACCTGGGCCTCACCTGGGCAGGCATCGTCCCTCACTGGTGGCCGTCATTGGCAGGTCTGTCTCCTGCAGCGCCACAGGAGGGTTCAAACCCCCAACCTTTCGTTAACCGTCACGCCACCAGGACCCCCACCCACTAGGGTTCGGGGCTCCCACGGACTCTTGGGTCTGTATTGTGTCTGTCCCTTTTCGGTCCACATTGGAAGTGTTTTTGTTTGTTCTGTTTGTGAGCAGCTGTGAACTAGTCACCCCTAGCCTTGGGATTGATCCCAGTCCCCAGA